TATTCCAACTACTTATCCTTCTTCTCTGTTTCTAACATTTGAATTCTAGTCACCTATTAGTAGTAGTAGTAGTAATAATAATAATAATAATAAAATAACACTGCATTTTGATTGCATATCAGATCAATATCTGACTGCAAACATTCGTAAAAATCTTCTATTTACTCCTCTTTGGCTCTGGTTGTTGGGGCATATATTTGGGTTATATATGCACCATGATATCATATACAAGCATGATTCTGCCGAAGATTACCCACAAACAACTGGAACAGCACATCAACAGAGAACTTCCTGAATTTCAGGCTGGGTTTAGAAGAGGTCATGGTCCTATGGATATTATAGCTAAAATTAGATGGTTCTTGGCTGAAAGCAGAAGTACCAGAGAAATGTCTATCTGTGTTTCATTGATTATGGAAAGGCATTTGACTGTGAGGATCACAACAAACTGTGGCTGACTTGGAGAAGAATGTGAATTCCAGAACATTTGATTATGCTTATGCAAAACCTATACTTGGTCTAGGAGGCAGTTGTTAGAATAGAGCAAGGAAACACTACATGATTCAAAATTGGGAGAATGTATACCAGGGATGTGTTCTATATTCATACGTTTTCAATCTGTATTCAGAACAGATTATCTGAAAGTCTGGGCTCTATAAGGAGAAATTTGGCATGAGGATTGGAGGCAGACTCATCAATAACCTGCATTATGCAGATGACATAATTCTGCTTGCTGAAACTGAGGAGGACTTGAAGCACTTGCTGCCAAAGGTCAAAGACTGCAGCATTCTTTTTCTTTTTTCTACTTTAAAAGCCTTTAAACTTTTTTTTTAAATTTAGGTTATTTTTCATTTCAATGAATATCTACAGATATTTTGGGATTCCATTCATTCATTGTTGCACCCTTCTCCCCGCACAAACCCCTCCCCCCCCATTTGCTCCTCTCCTTGAAAAGCAAAAGAAAAACTCCCTCATTGGTACACAATCCCCACCCGCACCTCCCCAAACCCCACCCCCTAGCCCCAAATATAATCCACTCTACAACCCTCATAGCATTCTTTATGGATTGAAGCTCAACAATATTTGCTCTACTGGGCTGATTGGCTTCATCATGATAGATGGTGAAGGGATTGAGATTGTTAGCAGCTTTAGTTTGGCCTGGCTCCACAATCAACACTCTTTTGATACCAATGACCAGGAAATTAAAAGATGGATTACATTGGGAAAGTCTGCTATCAGAGACCTCTCCAAAATTTTGAAGAGCAATGATGTCAGTCTGGATACTTAAGGCACTCCTGATTCAGGCCATAGTCTTTGCAATTACTTGCTATGCATTAGAAATCTAGACAATGACTAGAGTTGATAGAAGGAGAAATGAGGCTTTTGAGCTGTGGTGCTGGAGAAGAGTGTTGAATATATAATGGACTGCTGGGAGAACAAACATGTTTGTCCTAGAGAGGGTGAGACCAGGGTACTCCTTGGAGGCAAGGTTTCTGAAGCTTCACCTGACATACTTTGGGCATGTTGCAAGGAGGGACCAGTCTTTGGAGAGGAACTTCTTGCTTATGAGGGTGGAGGGACAACACAAGAGAGGAGGACCCCCAGTGAGGTGGATTGATTCTGTGAATGAGATAATCGTAGTAGCTGTGTTAAAGACAGTAAGATTGATACAGGATAGAACAGGGTTTAAGAGGGTCACTGTGAGTCACAGGCAACTCAAAAGCATATAACAACAGCAACAAACATTAAGGCTGTGTCACTAATCCCTTCTCCACCAATGTTTCATGAGCCATGTCCCTGGCATTTGCCCACCTAGACCAGGCAGGAGTTTGACCAAGATACCATCACAGGGGATTGGAGAGGAAATAGGTGGACAGAGATTGCCAGAGGCCTAAGCCATCATACCAGGATTGGCTGGAGGTAGCCAGGAGGGAGGTGCTGAAGGGATGAGGATAGAAAATGTAGCTGAATAATTGCAAGGTCGTGCAGAGGTGGGAACATAAAACACAAACTGAGGTTGAGGGAAGCCAATACTAGATCTGTTACCTGTGTAATGGAGAAAGGTCTTTCATCTACTTTTTTGGGGTAAAATGTTTGTCTTTCAGCAAATATCTAAAGCTGAGTATACAAAGCAAAGGGAAGAAATCAAGAAGGAGCTGAACAGAAGATGTTAAAGGGCTAGGCAGTTGTCAGAACAGAGCAAGGAAACACTGCATGGTTCAAAATTGGGAAGGGCATATGCCAGGTATATGTCCTGTCTCCATACCTTTTCAACCTGTATGCAGAACAGATCATCGGGAGGCTGGAATCTATGAGGAGAAATGTGGCATCAGGATTGGTGGAAGATTCATAAACAATCTGCGTTATGCAGATGACACAACCCTGCTTGCTGAAACTG